CCACTCCATCTCTGCATCACCCTCGTCTCCTCATATTGCTCCTCTTCCTCCTCCTTCTTCTCCTCGTCCTCCTCCTCCTCCTTGTCTTCCTCCTTTTCTTCCTCCTCTTTCTGCCGTTGAACAGACTTGAACATTTAGATTGTAACGTTCGTGCACTGCACAGAAAAGGCCGTGGCGATCCGACTTCAAACTGGTGTCGAGGAACTCGCGGGCCCAATGTAGGAGATTGAAAGACCCAGCATAATAGATAAGCAACACAAGAGGCCTGACGGCTGGATGTATACGCTGGCAGGGCGAAGCCTATGGTAGAGAGGTCGACCGAATCGAAGAATGCGATAATCATGGAGCCATAGATCAAGCTGTACGATAGCCATGCAACAATCCACTTCCTCCTCCTCTTCCTTCATCATCCCTTGTCCTTACAACCGCTTCTTCCATATCGCACCCCCAAACGTGTTGGCATGGCGGACCGGGCGTTTCGACTGAAACTTCTCCACCGTTTATGATCCTGTAGTTTGAGATTTGCAACAGCTTCATGGATGGAAGGTTGGTCGTTTTCAATATGCGGTTCTCGTCTTCGCGCCGCGCACATTCGTCTGTATGCAACACCTTCACGGATGGGGGGGGTCCTTTTCAAAACACAGTTCTCGCATTAGCACTGCGCGCGTTCGTTTTGAAGGTTTACAACACATTCACGGATTCGCCTGTGGCTCTCGCCTTGGTTCAGCGCGCATTCGTCTTAAACGCTTGCAGCTGGTGCAAGGTTTCGCATGGCAAAAAGCTTAGCAATGGTGTGCCGTGGGCCGTCTGGAGGGCATCCTGGGCCATATTGGTGTCCTCTTGTTCCGTCTTGCTAGCCTCTGACGAACCGTTTTGAGGCCTTCAAAGAGCGACAACAAGACGTTGTCGGCAGTATGTTTTTTGTGCGAGGATGCCCTGGGCGAAAATGGAATTCGGGGCACGACCGGGACCGCGACGACGTCAACAACATCTCATTGTTGTGAGAATGGCCCTAGCGAGATTGCCATGAGGGGCAAGAGCGATGCCGATAACAGTTCGTGCTCCCGAGGCCCCTAGACCACGCGCCAGCAGGAATAGCCGATGCAGCGACCGAAGTCAAGACAAGCTGCAAGCACAGAGTGGGCCCAGAAAGTGACACTCCGCAAGAGCACTGAAGGCGGATCCGACGATGTCGGGGCAGGCGTAGTTAAGGGAAAACAAACCTACCTCGCTTTTGACCACCCTCGCTTCCAAGATATACCAAACGATGCCAAATTGCAGCCTGTACTGGTCAGGCCGCTTGACGAGGAGGCGCGTGGCATGGCTTGGTTTTGCCTGGAAGCGAAAGCGGGGTTGGTAACTCACACTCTGACGTAGACAACACTAGAGAAAAATAGGACAGCCAGCTAGCTTCCAGGCGGTTCATCTTCCGCCCACTGGAGGCCAACAGGGTGCCAGGTGGGGACATGGATGGCAGAACTGAGCCACGACGATTACGAGCACGCACGCACGTCGAAACACCGGCATGCTACACACACCCGCGGAGAAACCACATCTATATATTACGAATATCCTGAGGCCCCTGGGCCGCACACCAGCAGGAATATCCAATGCAGCAGCCGAAGTCAGGACAAGCTGCAAGCACAGCGTGGGCTTCGCAAGCCCAGAAAGTGACACTCCGCAAAGAGTACTGAAGGCGGATCCGACGACGTCGGGGCAGGCGTAAACAACGCTCAGGAAAAACAAGACAGCTAGCTAGCTTCCTGGGCGGTTCCTCTTCCGCCCACTGGACGCCATAGCCCCCGAACTCCTCCGGGCTGGTCGCGAGGCTGACAACTCGCGGAGCGAGTGAACCAAGGCAGGGGGTAGAACCCCTTCACTGTGCTTTGCGCTTCGCATCTGAGCGGGCGTGCTCCTATCAAGCTGCTTCAAATGCTGCGCATGTTTTCGTATCTGGTCGCGGATTTGAAACTAATCCAACGCCCGCTCTCTGGATCATCTGCAGATCGGCCTTCTTTTCAAACCTGTCGTTCGAAAGGCCGGAGCGGCGAAGCCAGTGCGGGGGGCCTCCGACCGCTTGCAGCTTCAGCCGACTCAGGCTGTAACTCTCTCTCTCTCTCTCTCTCTCTCTCTCTCTCTCTCTCTCTCGCAGGCTGCGAGATCAAAATCGAACGCGGGGCTGCCGGGCAAAATAAAATCTTCCAGCGCTGCCGCGCCATCTCGAATCCACTCGCAACCGCGCACCTACATCAACAGCGTCATCAGTCTGGCCAGTCTTTGTCCGCCTACCCGACTCCGTCGGGGCGAACGCCGCGGCCCGACGGCCAGCAAAGGCACGGCCCGCCGCGGGCTGACTGCGAAGAATGTCTGCTTCAGTGATCGTCAGGGTCTCCGACGGCCCCGAGATCAGGTCTGTTTGTAGCGCCGCGCGCGCCGCCGTGCGAACCAGACCTCGGCGCAGCATGTCGGAGGCGATGGCGTTGACGAGGATCATGGGGCAAGGCATTCCTACCGCAACGGGATCGGCGCGCCCCCAGCCTTTCAAATGCCGTCGAACACGCGCAGAAGTTCAACCGTCGTGAAACCGATCTCCGCGAAGGAGGATCCAGCCAAACGAGCCGTTGCGCCCAGTGCCAGGGCCCGCCCCATCGAAGAACATTGAAGCGAAGCACTGTAGAATATTCTCATTGGTATCTGCATGTGCATTGCTCTGCCGCCCGTCCTCCTCGCACCAGGCCTCAAAAACAGACGCCGCACTGCGGTGCAACTGCAGCGCGGAGGCCGCCGCAGACATCTGGCGCACGAACTCTACGCGAGAGCGTCCACTCTCAGCAGCTCGGCGGCGGCGGCGGCCGGCGGCCTTGGCCTTAGCCGCTGCCTGGCGGCGGCGCGATGGGATGCTCGAGGGCGCCCCCGACGCGCCTGAGCCGAGCCCGCTCCGCGGCGCCTGTCCCGCCGAAAAGCGCGCCGTGCTGCGCGAGGTAATTGCCGGCAGCCCCACAAGCCGTGTCGCAGCCCGCTGTCTCGTCAGCGGCTGGAACACGTCGCCAACCCGCGGGTCTCCGCGAGGGCGTCACTAGCGCGCGCAGAGCAGCAAGCCACTCGCCGCCCCAGGGAGACTCGCCCCCCCGCGCGGCCAGAGGTGCAATCTTCCCGAGAAGATGCCCATCTCGATCAAAGCCGACGGATACGGGCCCGCAAGCGCTGTGAGGCTGCACCAGACGCGACCCCCAGAACCACCAGGAACTCGAACTTTACCCACGAGAGCCTCATGCCGTCTATGGGTACAGGGAGCCTCCAAGCCCTTCCGTTCCGAAATATTCGCAAGCACCATAATTCACTTTTGATGAGGAGCCCCATAAGCACACATAGGGAACCGCGCCCGCTGGGCCCCATGAGGACCCGCAAGACGCCCAACAGGAGGGAATCTGCAGAGGCCTGACGTCATCGGAATCTCAATACTCCAGCCCACTCCACACCGATGGCATTCTCGAAGCTCCGACGTAAACAGCGCGAACTCCACCCCGAGACGCTTGATAGTACGAGCACGACGTAGATCACAAACTCCGCGACGAGCGATGCTCCGCGACCGACATGGCGCCCCGAGATGGACAGCCCAGAGCCTCCCAGACCTCACCCAGGACAGGACCAGCTTCTGGGTCTGGGTCTTTCGCCTCGCCAAGTCGAACTCGGCTCCGCGCCTGATCTCCATCGGAGCCAGCGCTTGCATATCACATCCTCGCACTGCAGCGGTCAACCCCGCTTCGCCAGCAAAGAGCTCTACAGAGACTCGGGACTCTGAGGCAGAGGGTGTAGGTCTGGTAGTATATGCGCTGCTCGCGGTGCGGCGCGGCTTTCCGGATGAAGGGCTAGACGGGGAAGAAGGCAAGGAGGGGGAACTGCAATCGACGCCTGGCGGCTGTGCGATAATCCAAGGCGCCGCCAGTCGCCTCTCTCGCCTCTTTTGAAACATCCACTCGGGGTCCGCGGCCTGGTGCCGTCAGGACCCTGCGTCGGCAACGTTCAGGTCTGCTGGCGCGTGCCTAACGCGCCAGCGCACTCGGCGCCCCATGCTGCAGGCGGCTGCCTTTCGACACAAAGAGTTGAGAACGCGCGAGCGGGCCCGCCCTTTGTCGAAGCAACAGCGGCACACCAAGTTGTCACAGAGGCTCAGGCATCGGTGGCCGTGATTGGCCCTCACTCGGCAAAAGCGTCTGAGGCCTGCCGCACAAAACCTGCCCTCCTTCACATTGATGTGTTCATCGTAGCGCCAACGCCCTTCCGCTGCAGTGGTCCACCCCTCCGCGTCGGCAAGAGCGGTGGGCAAGGTTCCCGGCGGCAGAGTGGACGGGCGCTCAGCAGCGGAAGCGCCGCAGCGCGTCCAGGCGATTCCAGCGAGCGGCGAGGCAGACTGCGTGGCCGTCGTCGCCCCACTGTGCAGGGGGAGCGGGGGAGGGGGGGGCATTTTTGTCCTGAGCCGCTCGGGCGCGAGCTGGTCCTCCAAGTTATAGACGCGGAAGAAACTCTCGTGCCGCTCGACCCTGTCGGCGCAGCTCGAACCAGCCTTAGGTGCGAGCGCCACGCCGTCAAGCCGGCGATCGCGCACCAACGCCCGCCTGATCTTCGGCTCCTGGACGCCGGCGACGCTGACCTTCGCGATCTGGCGCGCATCGGACCACCTCGCCAGAACTCTGTCGCGAGCGCTCCGCCGGGGAGGACCCAGAAGTCATGGCCCTCGAAGAGGCGCGCACCAAAAGGCGCCGGGAACAATCCTGAGCGCTGGTCGGGGTCGCCCACGTCGAAGGCGCGAGCGTCGCGGCCGTCCCCACCGAAGTCGCGCGCCCAGCAGTCCGGGCGGAGCCAGCGAGGGAGATCTTCTAAATCCTCGGCGCGCTTCCCTTTTTTCCCCCTCCTGACGAGTGCCACTGCGCCCGCGGATCCTTTCTTGCCCTCGATGCTTTCAGCATCATAATCATCGGTAACTGGGGAGCCAGCCGCTCATGTAGGGTGAAAAATTCAATTGCTTACACTGGGGCGCTCCTCCGAGATCGTGACCGGGCGCTGCCACCTGGCCTGTCATTCACCGAGGCGCGACAGCATTCTCAAGCGGGGCGACGAAGGACCTGTGAAGGTTCCCGCAGCTAGGCTCGCACCTCACATACAGCCGCGGGGCACGGACGACTCGAAGTGAGCGTCCCTTGCAAGCCCTGATCAGGAGCGGTTTGACCGTGGGTGACTCGCCGCCGCTAGTGACGGAGTTACCAGACGGCAACCTACGCCCGAAAATTTCGCCCCACTGGAACGGCTTGGAGGTCGATCCGTCCTCGGCCCCGGCCAGGTCGACACCCAGCATCTGCGTGATGTTATTCGGCAAGGCGGCGACGGCATGCATGGCGCGTGCCCTCGCTCTCTCGTAGCCGGCGGCAGCAATCATGCCGACAATGACTTTGACCTCCGCCCAGACCTCGGAACTCAGTACATGCGCCTCGCTGTGCGTCAGCAGGTTGACGATGGGCCCAGCCATGCGCGCTGCTTCCTCGTCCCCGACGTCGCTGTACTTCGCGTGTTTGGACAGGTCGGCCGATGTCTGGGAAGATCGGCAGAAGCCAGTGCTGCGTGTCCAGGAGGTCCTGCGTCTCGACGGTGTGGTAGCGCGCTCGGAGGAAGCGGTCGGCTTCCTCGCGCTCTTCAGGAGTACGTGTCCTGAGCAGCTCCAGCAGCGCATCCCCTACACAGTCACCACCATAACTGGAGAGGCCGTCGCTAGAGCGCTCGTGGTAAGCCTTGACGGCATCCAAAACTGGGCCGGAATCGTGCGTTTCCTCGCCGGCCCTGGCGACCTTGGGCGCCACAGCTCGAAGGCCCCCAGCTATCGAGTCTACCGTTGGCAAGAGCGGACCGTTGGGGCCGAACCCCACGTGCTCAATCTCCTGGTCGACTGCTTGACCTTTCTCCTCAAGTTCCCGTTTCAGCCAGTCCGCCGACACCTGCACACCCTTGGGAGGAGGCGGACTCCAGTGAGTCTGAAATGCTCCGATTCGGAGGCGAACGGGATGTCATCGGAGAAGGTGTCGATGGGGATCAGCGCCAGCGTGAGGTAGAAACTGGCATTCGCCTGCTTTCGACGCTGGTCGCTGCGAGCCGAAGAGTCGCTGACACAGTCTACCTTCTCCTCTTCTTCGGCCTGCGGTTGCGACTGGGCACAGCCATCACTTTCCTTTCCCTCCTTTGGCTGGCCATCATCCTTGTTTCTATCCGGATCTGAGTCTTCACCTGAGCCGGCCTCCTCTTCCTGAGGGGAATGGAGAGCTGCACCCTTCGATCTTTAGTTTCGATGTCGCTGTCGGTCGGCGACAGGTCGACGCGCGACTCGGGAAAGGACGGAGGGGGGGGAAGGCACAGAGTGGAGTGGGGGCACTCACTCTCTCTCTCTCTCTTTGTCTCTCTCTCTCTCTCTCTGTTTATCTCCCTCTCTCTCTTTCACCAGGTGGGGCCCTACCAACAATAGTGTTTGCGCGTGGTGGATAAGCCACAAGACTGAGCCAGGGAAGAGGATGAGGTGGAGGAGGTGGAGGAGGAAGAGGATGAGGCCAAGAGAGAGGCGCCTGAGGAGGAGGAGGTGGAGGAGGAGGAGGAGGGAGAGGAGGAGGAGAGGCCAATGGGGGTGGTGGAGGAGGAGGAGGAGGAGGCCAAGAAAGATGAGAGCCAGGCGGCAGAGAGGTAGAAAGAGAAGGGGTGGGTGGGTGTGGGAAGGGGGGGAGTAGGCTCATCGCCGCGCCTTTTCCAGGGCAGAAGGAAGAGGCTGGGCAGGATCTGCGATGCGCTAGCTGTCAAACGAATGCGCCCCTTGCCTCTCTGACGCCTTCTGCTCGAGCCACTGCTTGTTCATCTTTTGGCGCTCTTCGTGATGTTTCCGTCTCCATTGGTCGCCATCGCTCCATTTTATCCTGCCACTGTTTACCACCTTCCCCTGGTAGGTATCTCCATCTTCGAAAGAGAGCCTTAGCTTGTCGTGCACGCCAGGGACGTACTCTAGCTGCCACTTCTCTCCTGTCCCCTTCCACATGATCTCCTCGTCCTGTATGCGGAGCTCCTCGCCTTGCGTGTTCACCCAATTCCCGTTTAGCTGTAAACGATTTTTCGGAGAGGTAGGCGAGAGAGTCTCGGCGATCTCCTCGAGCTCGTCGAAGGTGCAATAGGACCCTCCCTCGCGCGGGTCGTTGACCATTTGCAGGAATGCCTCGAAGTCCAGGCCCTTGCCAGCGTCGGTGCCGTGCTCCTCGCAGAGTAACCGGAACTCCTCCCTCCACTCTCTGGGGCCGCCCTCGAACCCGGACAGCTCGGCGAACCTCAGCATCTCGCTCGCGCCCAGGATGCCCGTCTTCCGCTCGTCCAGGGCCATGAACACCTCCGCCGACACCTCCAGCTTGGCCTGCTCGAACGCCGCCTTCTGGCGGCCACCCGAGCTGGGCTTGGAGCGGATAGGGGGTCGGAGGACTGCGCCGCTCTGCCGGGGGTGGCAAGAGGGTCGGGCGCTGGACCGCGATCTTCTGGCTGGTGGCCGAGCGCCCCCAGCCCACCCGGAAGCCCACGCGTCGCGGCCCCTCCGGCAGGGTCCGGAGGGTGCCCAGGCCATCCCGTGATACAGCCAAAACTGATACGAAGGATGCGCGAGGACGCGAGAAGGGTGCAAGCCCCTTGGGCGCACGTGCTGAAGCTTTCTCTCGAGCGCGGGGCATGCCGTCGAAAGTAATCAAGGATGGACCAAAGAGGCACAGGCGCAAGGGTACCCTTGGGAAGGTTGTGGCGGCGCGCACACGGGGGGTAGGAGGAGGGGGGAAGGCTTCTTAGAAGGAGGCTGCTTCTTAGAAGGCGCAGGGCCTTACATCTGCAGACAAGGCCCGCGCCTTCTAAGAAGCAGGGTGCTCCTGAGAAGCCCTCCCCCCTCCCCACATCCCCCCCCCTTCGGCGCGTGGCCGAAGGCTTACCATCAGCTTCGACTGTATCCTCCGACCCCGCCCACCCCCTGGCCCCGCTCGGGTGCCCCCGCTTGGAGCCTTCAGATCCTCCGCCGCTGCGCCGGTCGCCTGGGGCCCCTCCTGTGGGGCAGCGTCAGGGGAGGGACTCCGGCTCGAGGGGGCGGGGATCGCCCCAAGCAGTGTGTTTCGTTTTCGTGTTGTTCTCGTTTTCCTCGTTGTGTCTTCAATCCGCCTTTGCTGCAAAACGAAATCGGCAGGAAAACGGCCCACCAAATCGCCCAAACACCCGCCGCCTTCCGCCAGCGGAGGCGCCCTCCTTTTGCTTCCGCCGGCTTCCGCCGCGCTGCCGCCGCCCTCCCCTGAGGAAGAGATGACAACTCCTTCGGTCCTCGAGGGCAAGGCCCTTCTCGGAACGCCTCATACGTCGCCGATGGATCGGCGGTAGGCCCCCGAGATAGCAGGTCGGCGCGTCCCTGGGCGGGGTGGACTATCGAGCTCCTATCTGCCATGAACGGGCGATAGGTGGTCGATGCTTCCCACCCCCGAGCCTAAGGTCGGACACTTTGGCATAGCGTGTCGCCACGGCGGCCACAGCGACACGCTACCCCTTCCAAGCGGACAGCGTGTCGCTCCACTCCGCGGGGCGGGAGGCGGGGTAAAACTCGGGACGTGGACGCCTGGGAAGGGGGACGTGGATAGCGTGTCCCAGAGACCTGACGTGGCCAAAAAAATGCAACACCGCAAAATATCAGCACCGGAGCCCTGGACTCACCTTTCTGCGCCGCTTGTTCGAGCCGTGAGGGTCCCGGGGCCCTAATAAACCAGACGAAAACGCCCACCGTGAACAAGAATCACAAACCCGAGATATCAGGGATCGCGCTGGGGCGTGGTGGGCCAGAACCGGCGGAGCGACACGCGATCCCAAAGTTCCCGACGGTATCCTATGGTGGTCTTCGGGCCAAAACTAGGGTCTCTGGCGGCCGTTCGGGACGATCTGGGCACCCCAGAACGCTCTTGGCGAGGCGCAGCTGCTGGAACGCACTCCGATGCAGTAAAACTTCCGAGAGCCAAGGAAAAGTTCCCCAAACTGGAAGGCTATTCCAAAAAGTTAGGCTGCGCGCAGAGGGGGGTGGGGGGCGGGGGCGGGCTTCTTAGAAGGAGGCTGCGTCTCAGAAGGCGCCAGGCCTACATCGACAGACAAGAAGAAGAACGGGTGTTTCTAAGAAGCCTCCCCCCCTCCCCATATCCCCTCTGCACGTGGCCGACTTTTGACGTCAGGCGGACTTCGATGGCTATGGCCGTGGAACCGGTGTGCGCAACACTCTCATGACACAGACAACGCCAAGAGCGTGCTAGCGATAGCATGGTGCCAGCGATTGCATGATGCGCATGATGCGCCCCTCCCCCCCTCCCCTCCCCCCTCCCCCCCCTCCCCCCCCTCCTCCCCCCCCCCCCCTCCCCCCCTCCCAACCCCCCGCTCCCTCCCCCCCCCTCCCCCCCCCCCTCCTCCCCCCCCTCCCCCCTTCCCCCCTTCCCCCCCCTCCCCCCCCCTCCTCCTCCCCCCTCCCCCCCCTCCTCCCCCCCCCCCCCCCCCCTTCCAACCCCCCGCGAGCGGCCGACGCCGGCGGTCTGCCCCCGCCAAACTCTCGGCCGTGCCCCCGCCCCCTCGCGCTGCCCCCCGCGGCCTCCCGCGCGCGCCGCCTCGGGGGCGCCGGCCCGCGCCGCCCCAGCGCCGCCCGCCACGGCCTCCTCCTCCTCCTCCTCCTCCTCCTCCTCCTCCTCCTCCTCCTCCTCCTCCTCCTCCTCCTCCTGCATCCTCCCCTCCTCCCTCCTCCCTCCTCCCTCTCCCTCCCCCTCCTCCCTCCTCCCTCTCCTCCTCCTCCTCTCCTCCTCTTTTCGCGCCACGGCCTCCTCCTCCTCCTCCTCCTCCTCCTCCTCCTCTTTTCGGGGGGGGGAGCGAAAGGGGGGTCCTCCTCCTCCTCCTCCTCCTCCTCCTCTTTTCGGGGGGGGGAGCGAAAGGGGGGGGGAGGCGGGGGGGGGGACATAGTCGTACTTGCTGGATGGCCGATCTCGGAAAGCCTGGGCCCCAAAATGGTTTCACCTCCTGGGAGGCCGCCGCCATCCGCCGCTAGTATCATGCAGCCATAATTGCGAGAGTAATCACGAGTCGAATTTTGCGCTGAACGCCTGGGACCGAACTGACTCATTGAGTGTCTCTGGGGGCATGCCTTGCGCTGCTGATGCACAGACGCTGATGGCAGCATCCGACAGGATGCCCTTGGCGCTCTCCCCTCTCTGCCAGTTGTGCTGGCCTGCCGGGCGGGGGCATGCGCCGACCACGCGCCACGCGCCACGCCGCCGAACAGGCTGGTTGCGCTCTGAGCTCGGCCTGCCGAGACAGAGGCGCAGCAGACTAAACTGGATGCGTTGTCGATGCGGAGCGATCCTTCGACCCCATCCGCTCGGACACCAGCTGGGAGGCTTCGACTGAGGGTCGGGAGGACTTGCCCTCCCCCACCGCCCTGGGCTCGACGCCGCTCCTCTGGGCCGACCTCCGCCCGCGCCCCCACCGCCGCGGGGTCAGGCCTCCTCAGAAGGCGGCGGGGCTTCTCGGGGGCGCTCGCGCATTCTGAGAAGCCGCCAGTGGCTCTGGAGGAGGCTCGCAAGGCTTCTCGGAAGGAGCGAGGGCTTCTGAGAAGGCCCGCAGCCTTCTGAGAAGGCCTGCCCCCTCTCGATTCCCCCCTTGGGCTGGCAGCAAAAAAAGGCCTTCGAACCTCGATCCTCGATCGACGATGTCGTCGTCACGCCGCCGCCTGGCCCCGTGGCCGTGACCGGACCAACCGGCAGCCGGGCTGCGGTAATTATAGGCCTCCGGGGTCGCGGGGGAGAGGAGGGAGAGGAGCTGGCCGCCGATCAGCTGGTACACGGGTGACCTTTGGTGCGCGGCTTCAGAGGGCAGCGGGGATGCCCAGCCCAAGCGTGCAGGCCAGTGCCGGGGTGACCCCTTTGGGCCCGCACCAAGAGTCACTCTCGCAAAGAGTCACTCTGACGCGCAGCCGATTCCCCTTCTGGAGCTCGCCGCCGATCCTCTGGGACATCCCCCGCCCGCGCCCCCGCCGCCACGTGGGCAGGCCTTCTCAGAAGGCGGCGGGGCTTCTCGGAAACCCTCGCGCCTTTGAAGAAGCCGTCTGTGGCTTGGAGGTCCGCCCGGATGTTTGGATCTGCGCTGACACCCCGTATGGGGCCGCGCCTGCGGGCCAGCAGGATACGAAAAGTCCGCATGGAACTCCCAAAAGTGATGCTTGTGCCATGATTCCTTCCCCCATCGAGGGGAAGCAGGACTTCCCCCCTTGGACTGGCTCCCGATCCTCTGGGCCGCCCGCAGCCCCCGCCCCCGCCGCCGCCGCCGTCGCCGCCGCCGCCGCCGCTGCAGCCGCCGCCGCTGCAGCCGCCGCCGCCGCCCCGCCCCTTGGGCTCGCCGCCGATCCTCTGGGCCGCCCCCCGCCCGCGCCACCGCCGCCGCGGGCCTCGGGCGCACGGCGCCGCAGGCCGCGGCCCGCCGCCGCCGCGCGGCCGCGCCGAGGCGGCGCGCCCCGCGCCGGCCCGCCGCGCAGGCCACCGGCGCCAGGGCGGCCAGCAGGGCGGCCCCGCCCGTGGCGGGCGCCAGCGCGGCGGCGCGCCAGGCGGGGCGCGGCGGGGCGGCGCGGGGCGCGGGCGGAACGCGCTGCGGCAGGGAGGGCGGCGCCGGGGGCCTCATGGCCGCGGGGGCTGCCGAGCGGGCCGCGTGCGGGGGGCCGCGGCCTGCTGGAGGAGCAGCAGCAGGAGCATGAGGGGCGAGGAGGAGGCGGGTGGCGGGAAAGAGGAGTGTAAACCCAAGAGTCAGCAACGATGATGGAGGGAGTAAGCCCTCCCTCCAAGCTCCCTCTTCACGGGCCCCATACAAAGGCTCATTTCCATTGAAGGAACTGCCTCGTTGGAAAACAACCGTTTGAAAACCCTGAAGCATGCCAAAACATTGTGCTCGGGAATCCAATGCGACGGATCAATCTGACTGTTGCGTCTTGACGATCCTGAACCGTGCCAGAAAGCCATTCCTGGGACGCTCACGCCGCGAATCAACGTAACTGTTGCGCCCGCATAATCGAGAGTCCTTACGAAACACCATGGCTGGTACGCCGATCATGGGAACCCGCGAAACTCTCGCAATTTGTCTTGACGAGTGTGCGCGGCGCTGAAGCGAGAGCCACATGCTGAAAAAGAGCCGCCCTCAATCCGTGAAGCTATTTTGCATGGTTAAAACGAATGTGCGCGGCGCTAAAACGAGCCACATTTGGAAAACGGGTCGCCCTCAATCCGTGACAATATAGCAATTGTTTACAGCGACTGTGCACGGCGCCAAAACGATAGCCACATTTGGAAAACGGGTCGCCCTCAAGCCGTGAAGCTCTAAGCTCTTGCAATGTGTGTTAAACGAATGTGCGCGGCGCTAAGGCGAGAACCGCCATTTGAAAACGACCCGCACTCCATCTGTGAAACGGTGGCTAAATTTTAAGTTTCAGAATCACAGATGGTGAGGAAGACTCAGGCGAAACGCCCAGCCCGCCCTAAAAATTGGCCTCGGGGTGCGACAGGAAGAAGTTATAATCATACCTACCGGTGTGATCTCGCATTGCATTCTATCGACCGACCGTGCCTGGAATGTGCTGGACGTGCCTTGGGATGTGCGAAGAGATGTGTCCTGGACTGCGAACGCCAGGGTGTGTCCTGTGCTGGACGTGCCCTGGGATGTGCGAAGAGAGGTGTCCTGGACTGTGAACGCAGGGGTGTGTCCTGTCTCCGTCTGCTGGAGTGAGTGCCTGGAATGTGCTGGGCTGGAACGCGTGCCTGGAATGTGCTCGACGTGCCCTAAGACGAGCGAAGACATGTCCTGGAATGTGGGCGTCGGGATGTGTCCTGTCTCCGTCTGCTGGAGTGCGTGCTGGGAAGTCTGCTGTCTGCGCGCTGCTCCGACGTCTCCGTCTGCTGGAATGTGTGCCTGGAATGTGCTCGACGTGCCCTGGGATGTGCGAAGACATGTGTCCTGGAACGTGAACGCCGGGGTGTGTCCTCTCTCCATCTGC